TCAAAACCACTAGGCAGAATGTACGGAGTAGTGTTTTGAGGACGCTGAAAGATAGTAGCAGGCAGATTGGGGAAGGAAACCAAAATGAGAAGTGGGAGAGATAAGCCATGAGTTTTCTGTTTTTTCCCTCCCATATGTCCCGCCTGCACACCATGGCCACCTGAACCTCAGAACGGCAGACTTCCAAAACAGTCCCTCTCTTTCCAGCCCAAGGAGCAGGAGTGGGAGTCCCTTGGGGACAGAGACTGGGAGGAATCCTCCCATCTTCCCTGCAAACCTGTGAACGCATGGAATGTACATTCTAGACTTTTTAAAAAAAACATAGTTGATTATCCCAAATGTGTTGTGCTGTCCTCAATAGGAGAAAATGTTTGTGAAATACACTTACTGCACAGGCATTGTAAACTTACTCTTTCATAATTTATTAAGCAGTTACAGGGGCGCCTGGGTGGCTCAGTCCGTTGAGCGTCTGCCTTCGTCTCAGGTCACGATCCTAGGGTCCTAAGATCAGGCCCCGCTCAGCGGGGAGTCTGCTCCTCCCTGTCCCTGTGCCTGCTGCTTCTGCTCACGTGTGCTCCCTCACTCTCAAATGAAAAATAAAAGATCTTAAAAAAAAGCAAGTACAGCCTTGTTCAGTGCCTTTGAGTCCCTGTAGTGCGAGCCCATTGCATCCCCGAAGATTCTGTACATTTCCGTATATCCCAGAGTTACTTCCCGGGACTCCCAGTGTTTTCAAAACGGGAAGGGCCTGGGCCTGGCCTAGCCAGGGGACAGCTAGTTAATAGCTTTTACCGGGTGCATTATTTCCAGTTTGTTGCTTTTATAAATAGTACCACAGTGTTTGTGCATAAAGCTTTCTCTCCTGTTTGGGGTCATACCTTGGAGGCAGACTCCTAGAAGCCATGTATGGGGGTCCCAGGCCATGCCGTTCATGTTGCTGGTCAATAACGATGATGAGTTTTGCAGGGGATTTCGCTGATCGTAATAAGGCTGTGAGTCCCCAGGCTGTAGGTGAGGAGGTTATGGCTTAGACTGGTCAACCCCCCGGGGCTCACACTGCTGAGTGGCGAGTGAGGCCCTCTGCCTGCTCCCATGAGCCCTCGGCAGCCCCAGCCAGCATGTCCCCTCCTCCTCACCCACCCATCTGAGATGGGTGACCCTGTGCCTGCCCCTGCAGTGTCCGGCTTCTGTGAGCTTTGCTAACTTGACATGGGAACAGTGAGCTCCCATTAATGTCCATTTGTATTTCTGTTTGTTTGACAGACTTATCTGCCTCCAGCGGCTCATACCCCTTTGTTCACTGATAAACTGTGTTTCCCACAAGTCTGATTCTCACTTGATTTATGTGTGTGATGCACAGGGAAAAGATGGTAACTTGTTTCTGCTGCCGTTGTTTTGCAGTTTGTTTTTTAGTTTGTTTGCTTTTTTAAACATCATTAAAATGTTTTACATGGCTGTAACCATCTATCTTCTTTTCCTGTTGCCCACTAAGCTTAAAGAGACTGGCCCCCTCGCAGAGACTTGACCGACGGGAAAAGATAGTTTTAAAAGAAAGCTTAGGAGTTTTAAGGGCACTTGTAAGAAATGCAGCATTAATTTCTGTTTTTTTTTTTTTTCTTGGTGTTATGTTTTACTTATAATGTCTCCCTCTTCCCTACACGTACAGGTTCCCCACAAGTATTTTCATGCTAAAACGGGAGGGCACATTATGGGATGATGGTACCTGAGAACAGGATTTCTAGTTTAACAGAGTTTTAGAAGGACAGGCTAAAATAATATAAAATGAAAAGCTGTCTAAGCTTTTTTGGCCATCATTCTCCTCTTTATCCATTGTTGTGACAGAACTGGGCCAAACTTTCAATCTAAACTTTAAAAAAAGTGTCAGCACATTTACACATGTATACAATCTAAAATATAAAATGGTTCTGCAGAAGTTGTTAGTAAAAACATTAGCTGCCTCCCACCCAACCCTGATCCAACTCCAGCCCATGTTCCTAACACACTTGCAGCTCTTTTAACTGAATCTAGTAGTGGTTACCTTCATATTTTTCACTCTTACAGGTGCATGCGTGTGTGTGTGTGTGTGTGTAAGTGACGTGGCAGTTCTGTTTATTTTTCTGGTGGCAATCTTAACTGACCTACGGGGAAGGCCGGGACTAAGGTTCCTCGGGGCCCCAGCCCCAGTTCGGTGCCTTTTCTGCCCTGCCCTGTCCCACCACAGGCCATCACACTTGTGTTTCCTCTTCCCCGTCTAGTTTTCTCTTCTTTTCTTTTCTTTTTTTTTTTTTTAATCATTTGACAGAGATCACAAGTAGGCAGAGAGGCAGGCAGAGAGAGAGAGGAGGAAGCAGGCTCCCCGCTGAGCAGAGAGCCCAATTCAGGACTCGATCACAGGACCCTGAGATAGTGACCTGAGCCGAAGGCAGAGGATTAACCCACTGAGCCACCAGGCGCCCCTAGTCTTCTCTTCCGATTTAGCTCCATACTAGCTCCGTGCTTGCACTATTCGTGTGTAAATGCTCTTTGTTGGCTACTCATGCGGTTCCTATAATTACTTTTCTGCCCATTTTCTGTTCCCTGTGGTGTTACTGATTGTCTTGCTTCTTGTTTTCTTAATGGTCTGTGTGCACAGTCATTGCCACGTGGGGGCTCCTCATTCAGGGCTGTCAGAGGCAGGGGTCGACAACACTCTGTTGGTGTCGCCTCCCTGAGGACCACTGTCCCGCCTCCTGACCCGCCCCCTGCGCTGTCTGTGCTCACAGCCCCTTGGCTCTCCCCTCATTGGCGTTCCAGCGGGTCCTGTCTCTTCTTTTTTCTGCGTTTACTCCTTTGCTTTACGGAGCATATCTTTGTAATTCCCTGAAAACAAGAGTCCGTAGGTGGTAGATATTGTGAAATCTTGTGTGTGCACAAATGGCTTTGATTTATCCTTCACTGTAGGGCCAGTTAATAATATGGCTGGGTATAGGATTCTAAGTTGGAAATCATTGTCCCCTAGAATTTGGGGGCATTCTTCCAGAGCCTTCTGTTCTCCAGTATTGTTTTGGAAAAAGCCTGACTCCTGGTGCTTGCTTGAAGCTTGTTTTTTTTTTTTTTTTTTTTTTTTTTAAAGATTTTATTTATTTATTTGACAGACAGAGATCACAAGCAGGCAGAGAGAGAGGAGGAAGCAGGCTCCCTGCTGAGCAGAGAGCCCGATGTGGGGCTCGATCCCAGGACTCTGAGATCATGACCTGAGCCGAAGGCAGAGGCTTTAACCCACTGAGCCACCCAGGCGCCCCTTGAAGCTTGTTTTTAACATCTGGAGGCGTTAGGGTCTCCTGCGGTAGATATGTTTGCTGCTGTCGAGCTACACGTTCACTGACCTTCTGGACGTGGAAATCCATTCCTTCTGTGTGGTGTGTTCGACCTGCCCTCCTAATCGAAATCCGGATTCATGTTGTTAAAGGGAAATTGTAGTAAAACAGTATTTCCCAAAGCTTGGAATACCATCAGTGAGATGCTGGAAAGGATCATGGTGATTATTAAATTGGGCAACTAACCAGACTTTTAAAAAGTGTGCTGACAAGCATGAAATACAGGCAGGCACACATTTCATTCGACAGAGCAAATAAAAATTGCAGTGAGTGAGTCGTTGAAGCCACTGACAGCTCCCGTATGCGGCCCAGACGTGTGCCGGAGACGGGTGGGTTATGTATGAACTCTTCTCACTCTGGTGGAAAGGGAAGGACGTGCAGTTCTACCCATGTTACGTGAGAAGACTGAAGGCGCGTCCACCTCAGTCCCTTGTCTCCATTGGGCCACCGAGTAAACCAAAGTCGTCTTGCATATGAGGCCTCCAGTATCCAGTGCTCCCACTAAGTGAGCGGAACAGTTGTCCCCAAGCCAAGTACCGGAAGTTTTCCCAGATGTTTTTGTTAGTATATCCATCAGTGACTCTCCCTCTGTCAGTGTGATTTTGAAAGTTGGGTTAGCGTCTGCTGAAATGTGCTGTAGAAAGTGCTAGTAGCTTCTAAGGAATGTTCTGAAGCCACTTGCTTCATCACAAGGCCCATACCCCTCCTGAGTGCTGTCTGAAGAACAGCGGATGTTGAGCAGCAGACTTCACGGGGGGTCTTGTGTCCCTCGGTGTGAGCTTCTGAAGGCAGGACGCTCCTGGGCATCTCCTCTGTGCTCAGCACCCACACCGGGCACTTCTGTGACCAGAGGTGAGGGAATGAATGCTGAAGCTGCCTCCCCGGGGTTAGCATCAGGTCCCAGAGGCTCAGGGCTCCATGTCACACTGACTGTCCCCACTTCAGACACCCATCCCAAGTCTGGGCTGTCCCTAGGGCTTCTGACCCCCCAGCTATACATTGGAGGTTCCGGGGACCCTGTCCTCCAGTTTGATTAACTTGCTAAACGTTGCTCCCAGGACTCAGGAGAACATGTTAACTTACCAGATTTCCAGTGTGTTCGAAGAGGATATGACTTAAGATGCTCTGGGCGAGGTGTGTGGGAAGGGGTTCAGAGCTTCTGCACTCTGTCTGGATGCACCGCTCCCCCCAGACCCCTGTGTCTTGACTTTTCACCAACCTGGAAACTCTCTGAACCGTCATCTTCTGGGTTTTTGCTCAGGCTTCATTCTGTAAGCCGGGTGGATGAGGCCGTTGGCCATGGGTGACCATCTCCACCTATAGGCCCTCCCCGCTCCTCGGAGGTCCAGCCCCCTGGTGGTCTGGTCAGCTCTCCTGGCATCCAGCCCCCCCTTCTTAGGGGCTTGGAGTCACCCCATTGACGTGCACGCTGATGTGCAGAAAGCAGCTTTTGGGGAGTCACCGAAGAGAGACACCTTGATGTCAGGAAATTCCCAAGGTTGTGCCAGGAGAACTAAGTCAGAGACCACATCCGTATTTCTGACTAGAAATCACCGTGTCACAAAGCCTAATTCCTGACGGTAGCCATCATGGCACGCTTCCGTGCAGGCCAGTAACAAGTCTTGTTTTCTCTTCTCCCACCAGCTTTTTGGAGACTGGGAAGCGCAGCTGCGGAGAATCATGAAGCTCATCGCGGGCGGCGGCCTCTCCATCACCGGCTCCCACAACATGTGTGGGGACTACCTGTACAGCGGGCACACCGTCATGCTCACGCTCACCTACTTATTTATCAAAGAGTGTAAGTCATGACCCCTGCCATCTCCCCCGGTCTCTTTGGACTCTCCTGTGGGAGGCCAGCCCCTGGTGTCCCCACAGTGGCCCCCAGAGTGACCTGTGTGTGTGTGGAGGGGGTGAGTTGTTCCCTCAGGTGTCAGAGTAGCATTGGGGGCGCATTTGAGCTGCTGGAAGGAGCCAGAAGGACATCTTCCTGGGACCACAGGCAGCCAGTGTTGGGCCAGGTTGGATGTTCTCAAGCTCCTGGCTCCCCACTAAGCGCAGGGACGGGAGGGGCACAGTGACGTCCCTCATAGAAGCCGTGGGCTCGGGACACTAACTGAGGCAGGCACTGAATGAGAAATTCCCTTTAAAAAATGTACTTAAAATATTTTATTATGAGACATAGAAAAAATAATACTAAATATGCCCCCGTCCACTGCTCAGACTTAATAACAGTGGCATTTGCCGTTTCGGTTTCGTTTAACCCATTAAAAAGCCAATAGAAGGTAACTAGGTGATGAAGGTCTCTCATTCCTTCCCCTCCTGTTTTCCTCTGTCATTTCCGTCATGTTTTGGTGCTTGCGTGTCATGGTTTGATGGTTTATCACCTCTGCTTGATGGTATTATGTTCTCTGGTCTTTCTCCACTTGTCTTGACTGCGGTGATGTAGGTGGGACATGAGGCTCTGGCTCATCGTAACGAACCACGGGCTGTTTATTTTTCTCCTTGTAGAAACTGCAGGTGTTCTCAATATTTTACTGTTAAAAACTGTCTCTCAATGAGCATTAGGCAGTTTCTGTGAAGACCAATGAGGAGACCCGGGCTGCCAGACCTCGGAGGAGGAACGCACGCGTTGCAGTCTGGACGTATCTTGGGAGTGAGCGCGTGGCACCGTTCAGAGCGTTGGTGTGGTTGGAATTCAGAGCGGTGGTAGTGGTGAGAAGCCACAGATGAACCGATCAGTAGGAAGCAGATCATGGAGTGCACCTTGAACCCTGAGAAGGAGTCTGAACTTTGGTTCTCTCACACACAGTGGCCATGCCGTCCCGTTTCTTCCTCAGAGAAGGAGGATCCCCTGCTGGGACGGGTGCAGGGTGGGTGGAGGGGGCCGGGCTGGAGAGCAGGGTGGGAGTGGGGCACTGGCTGCTGCCGTAATCCAGGGAAGTCGTGGGGTGTCCTGAGCCCCATTGGTGTTGGCGTTGGTGAGATGTGGAGGGAATGGAGAAAGGTGAGCAGAGAGCCCGCATAGAGCAAGGTTTGCTGGGAGCATGGGAGACCACTGAAGAAGCAAGGCTTGAGAGCCCAGTTTGGGTCTTTTTTTTTTTTTTTTTTTTTTAAGATTTATTTATTCATTAGAGAGAGAACACACAAGAAGCGGGAGGAGCAGGGAGAGGGGCAGAGGGAGAAGCAGGCTCCACCTCCCAGCAAGGAACCTGACATGGATCCCAGGACCTGGAATTGTGACCTGAGCCAAAGGCAGACGCTTCTCCAGCTGAGCCACCCAGGTGCCCTAGGCCAGCTTTGGTCTTAAACTGAGATAGGGAAGACAGGAGAAGAGGAGATGTGCTTCAGGGCACTGGGAGAGGGAACGTAGGTGTTCTTCTGCTTATTCTTGGCACGTGACCAATTCTCACAGCTTCTGTTCCGAACCCTCAAGGCGCCATCTTGCCCTTGTGCTGGGGTGAGCTGGCCATGGAAGTGGGGGCCGGCAGGCCTGGTGTAAGCACTTGGGGGAGTGCTCCTGCCCTGTGCTGCTTGTACTGCAGTAGAGGCTAAGCCTTATCCTTGAAGGAAACCCAGGTGCCATGTTGGGAGACTGGGAAAACTGGGGTCACAATCACGGATTTTGAGTCCTGGTGCTATCATGAGCTCTGTGACCATGGGGCCCACCTTTGACCTCTCTAAGGCTTGGTTCCCTCAACTTTAGAATGAACTACTGGTAGCCACTCTCTGGCTGAGGGAGAGGAGAGGTGGTAGGAATGAAGATAAGCAGCATATACAGACTCCGGCAGAGTTGCATGAGGAATTGTTGTGTTGTTAGGGTGCAAATACAGATTCTTCTGGGACTGGACTATAGAGCCCCCGCCCCCGCCCCTGCCCAGCCACTCCCTTTAAAGCCGCAAACCTCCCTTCCCCTTCTCTGCTTCTGATTCTGCTTCTCCTGTTTAGCTTTTAATTTTTTCTTGGCATTTCACATCTTCTGACATAGCGTATACTTATTTACTGTAATTAATTTGTATCATCTCTCCTTCATACTGGGAAGGGATCTGCCCACGGGGCAAGTTCTTTGCCTGTTTTGTTCGTTTATCTCAGTAGCTAGAGCATCTCCCCTCCCAAGCACATAGAAGATGCTTGGTAAATAGTGGTTAAATGGAGGACTAGTTCGTGGACCCCATACGAATCCAGTAAATGTGAACTTTCTCCCCCTGGGGTCGGGAGGATGGATCACATGCAGATGATGTTCGTGCATAAAACGTCAGACCCTCTTCAGCCCATGCTTCGAGAATACGAGGCTGGAAGGCCTGCGCTTGCAGAGATATTGATGCTTCTGCTAGGGGGCTTCCAAATCAGGGTTTGGACAGGTGTTTATTTGACCCTGCCCTGCCTTGAAGGCACTTGGACCCAAATCCCCAGGCATCTGGATCCTTTCTTATTCCCATTTGAGAATTGGAAATCTCAAAGACCTCCAGGTTAGGGGATGGTCCCAGAGCTTGGAAAGCAGGTAAGACAGTTCTGTCAATCATGACTGCCTAGTCCCCGTATAAGGGTCTCCAGACCACTAGTATTGATTTTTGTTGAGAGCGTTAATTCCAAATTATTCACAAGTAAATTGACTTAAATGTCGGTGGGCTTTTTTTTTTTTTTTTTTTGGATAGAGCATGATGTATCATCCTGTCTGTTGTCCTTTTAAACTGTATTTATGATAATACAAAGCAAGTGCTAACCTGACAGAAATTACAGTCTGATCAAATCATGAAATACGCGGCTGCCATTCTTACCTTGGTTACAGAGAAGCAAAAGCCCTTAGATTTGCTGCCACATGACGTGTTTCCGGAAGGAGAGGTCCACGTTGCTGGGTAGTGGGGTGGGTGCCCTTAGCGGCGCTGGGACAATGGGGCCACCGTGAATGTCTTGTCTTTGCAGACTCCCCGCGACGACTCTGGTGGTACCACTGGATCTGCTGGCTTCTCAGCGTGGTTGGGATCTTCTGCATCCTCTTGGCGCATGACCACTACACTGTGGACGTGGTGGTGGCCTACTACATCACCACGAGACTCTTCTGGTGGTACCACACGATGGCCAATCAGCAAGTGAGTGTCCTCTTCTCACAGGGTCGCAGCCTCCCTGCCCATCCCCCAGGCCCAGGGGTGCACATACCATTTACAGACAAGCGTTGATTTCTCTCCGAGGGGTCGGCATCTCGAGTGGGGTTGTCCTTCATGATGCCGGCCCACTGGAGAATAAAAAGTGACCAGGGAAGGTGTGGGTGCAGCACCACAGACATGGCGTCCTTCCAGCGCAGTGCCCTGTCTTCTCCCCAACCCAGACAGATGTCTCAGCTGTGCCCACCCAGTCTCCATCCTCCCGCCAACTGAGTACAGAATGTCCATTGCAGGGAAGTCACCGAAACCCTGACTGGAGGATACACTGATGGCTGCGAGATGGCGTGAGGCTCGTGTTGTCCATGCGCTCGCAGAATTGGCGTAGTTCTCCTGCCGGGCTGGGGCCCAGTTAGCAGAGCGCATGTGACAACGTGCGTGTGTCACCAGGCACGTGGGGAGCCTCTGGGGTCCTTTGTGACCTGCAAAGGGACCGTCCAGACTCCAGGTGGAGGGTGGTTAGGCGCGTGCGTGTTCCTCTTGGGGCTGGGGCAGTGGCGTGTGCCCACTGACTTAGGTTGCCTGTCCTTCTCCCAGGTGCTAAAAGAAGCTACCCAGATGAACCTCCTGGCTAGGGTGTGGTGGTACAGGCCGTTCCAGTACTTTGAAAAGAATGTCCAAGGAATCGTGCCTCGCTCGTACCATTGGCCCTTCCCCTGGCCGGTCGTCCACCTCGGCAGGCAAGTCAAGTACAGCCGCTTGGTGAGCGACACGTAACGGCGCACGAGGCGGGCAAGCGAGGAGCTGTCTGAAGTTGTAGAACTGCACAAGAGAAGATGCCATGAACACACCTCCCTGACCCCGTTCTCCTTCGGCAGTTCCCTTGACTTAACCTATTGAGTTACCTGGTCAGCACTGTGATCTTTTTTTCTCTCCAAAGGACCTGCGTTGGACAACAATAAAGAAAATCTAACCTATCATGCACTGTACACATCTTCCTGTTCGTAAGTTTGGGATTTCCGTAACCTGCGACCACCATGTTCCTTTGTATATGATGCAACAGCATAAATGTAAGCTTTTATATCATCAGTTCTGGTCTTTCCAGGCACATCTGGAAATAAAGCGTATTATTTTCTTGGGAAAACATACTTTTCATATCTCTTGCCCCAAAGATTGGGCTGTAAGCCATTTTCTAGCAAATGTCTCTATGAAGGTTTCTAAGTACCTGAATGGGGTTCGATTCTGAAATCTTTCTACCTGTTGCACCGATATTCAAATAAAAATGACAGACACAGAAAGGTTCGGTAACTTTGGGTTTTGTAAAAATCAGCAGAGAGAGTGTGTCAAAAAGTGCAAAAAAAAAAAAAAAAGATTCTGTTATAAAGCGATTTTCTAAGTATTTCCTAACTTTATTTTTCAAAATAATGTTATGAAAACCAAATTTAAAGATTTTTACATGTCGGAGAGAAGAGAGTTAAAATTTAAAAATGCTTCTTGGGAGAGAAATTTGTCTATGTTTATAGTGCCTTTCTTGTCTTGATTGTATGGTCAGTAGGCAATCTTAAATGTTTTTATTTAAAATAAAATATTCCATGGAAATATAAATATATGTATACACTACTAAATTTTGCATTTATAGCTAAATTAAATCAGAAGACTGCTTATGGTTTTTAAATCGCTATGAATTAGAGAATGGGGGAGTTAATTAGAAAGTCAGAGCCTGTTCCCATATTGTGAGCAGGTGGCAATGACATGTATACCACTTAAATTATTTTATCATCTATTTGGTAGTTCGATTTTAACTATACAATGAAAACAGCCATGAATACTTTGTTTTTAAAAAGAGAGTTTTGAAAATGATCACTTAACTAAAACTTGAAAGCTCTAAATTAGTTATCTGTACTCTTATGACAATTTTGTTGGTGAACAACAAAACAGAGATCTATTTCTTTAAAATATATTTGTGCAGAAACTGCATGTAACTCGAAGTTTTACTCCCAACATGAGTATGTTTGGGGAAGTATTCTCTTCTATACTTGCCAATGTGGAGAACAAAATAGTTTTTTAAGAATGAAGAAGTATATATATCCATTCTGTATTTTACGCAGCAGAATTATCTTCCGTAGGGTTTTTTTGTGAATTCACAAGGTGATATTTGTATTGTAAAACAATAATGGTGAAGGAAATAAAAAAGGCTTTTAAAATTTTGTTTGTTTTAAATATTTGTAAAGTTATTATTCCAGAGAGTACACTGATATCTTAACGGCTTACCTAGATCATAAATTAATCAAAATGCACTTTTTAATAAAACCTGATACTTAAAATAGATGGCTGTTATTTCTAATGTGTTCACATCCTTCCCGGAAGTCATCGACAGAGTCATTAAAGCAGAGGTAAAATGCTGCGTTTTGGATCTAGGGTTTATTCTGAGACAGGGCCTGTGGCAATTCTGTTTCTATCCCCTTAAGGTTTCTGAAAGCGTACGAGTGTCTTTGCAAACATACATAGACAGAATGGAAGGTGAGTTAAATTTGAGCTGTTGGCTAGAGATGTCAAGCTGGTGAGGTTTCCTGCGTGGGACTCTGGACGTGTGTCTCCGTCAGAACGCAGGATGGCCTCTAGGGAGGCCTGTTGACCAGAATTCTGGGATGGATCTTTCGCTAGTACAGCCTTTCCCCTGACCTTGACTGTCAAGCAGGTGCGGCACATCAAAGGGGAAAGAAACCTGAGGAATGAAAATGAAGTATTGGGACATGTTAAAAATTGGATCTTTTCTTCCTGAATCAAGTAGTTAAAAAAAAAAATGACGACCACAGGTTTGTATCCTACCTGTGTACTAAAGAACTTCATGCCTGACCGCCCTGGTTCATGAATGGACGTATCCCGTGGCTCCCCTATCTGCAGATCCAGGAAGGACAGAGAAATCTCCTGTTCTAGAGAATCAGAGTCCACTTGATAATGCCTCTCTGGTTGCGGACGTGCACATTTTTGTCCTTTCATTTACTAAGACGAAGCCTTGGACAGTGGCTCCTTTGTTTGGCTCTTTACGAGGAGGGCATTTTACGTGTGTTCTCTTGTTAACCCCGACAAAAACCATGAGGTTAGAAGTTATTACCCTTTCTTGCAGGAGGGGACTGATTGGAGTTCCGGTTTCCACCTTCTCCCCAGCACCCCGTGCTTCCCCAAATACTGTTGAGTGTTCATAAATTCTATAGGGTCAGGGTCAGCAGTGAGAGAATCGGCGCTTACCCTGGTAAAGCCAAGCCAGACGCCTCTTACTATGAACCGCATCGTAGGAAATCCATGTCACAAACTGAGAGACTAATTTCTTAACTGCTAAATGGTTTATTTGGATCCCAAATACCTGATAAATGGGATCAATAGCTCATAAACTTTATAAGACAAAATGAGGATCCCTGTTAGCTTTCATTTGACCTTCATTATACAGACAACCAGGAGGGCACCTGGGTGGCTCAGTGGGTTAAGCCTCTGCCTTCGGCTCAGGTCATGATCTCAGGGTCCTGGGATCGAGCCCCGCATCAGGCTCTTTGTTCAGCGGGGAGCCTGCTTCCCCCTCTCTCTCTGCCTGCTTCTCTGCCTACTTGTGATCTCTCTCTCTCTCTGTCAAATAAATCTTTAAAAAAAAAAGAGTCAACCAGGTATTGGCATAACTAAGGTATAGAATATGCTACTTGGATCCCTTGGATGCTGATATTCTTTCTTCTTTTTTTTTTTTTAAGATTATTTTAGAGAAAGAGTGTGCAGCGGGGAGGAGCGGAGGGAGAGAGAATCTTGAACAGACTCCCCACTGAGCGTGGGTGCCAATGCAGGGCTTGATCTCATGACCCCAAGATCCCAACCTAAGCCAAAACCAGGAGTTGGACACTGATGCTGACTGACAATCTTTTTTTTTTTTTTTTTTTTCACTCCCTTTGGTCAGGAAACTTAACTTGAACAAATCCAGACTTGATATTCTGCTTATCAGGACCTTAAACTTCTCCTCCGTCTGCTGGTTCAGTAGAAGTCAAAAGAAAATTAAACAACCTGCTAGATCCAGACTCCAGCCCGCTGAGGTCAGAGATGGGTATGGTCTGTGAGTGACCCACTTAGTGAAGGGAGGTTGCAGGAAACTGGAAGGAGGGAGCAAGAAGGTCAGGATCGTGGGGAGAGTGGCAGAAGGACAGTGCAGGCGGCCATAGCTTACCATTGGTGAAGACAGGGAGGGTTTATCACAAGAGCTAATGTGTGTGTTGCACGTGTGGGAAATCCTTTGTGTTCTCTAGTGTTGGCCTGGCACTAGTGTCGTTGAGCATCTAGCAGTTGAGAAAATGCATGCGACAGGATTAGAGATGCCCTTGAGATTTTCTGGTTTACCATTCACAGCATACGTGTGACATCCAATCAGCAGGAATAGTACTCAGCCATTCATTATTCCATCAATGCCTCATGGTTGGTGAGTGCCAAGATTTGAGAGTCTCTTGAGAATTTTTGGGACAGGTTTACTAAAGATTTGAAGGCAGAGATTGATGAGATAGATGGACTCCCATGTTTTTCAAAGTTAAAGGAGTAGAGGGTCCAAATTCAGAGGCCTATGCTAACTCCTGTGTCCCAGTTCCTGTGTCGAAGGATGTCTAGGGAGTGGCTTGAGGGGCCAAAATGGCATCCCAGGTGAGGACAAGGGAAGGCTCAGACACCCAGGAGGGACCAGCCCAGAGTCCCCTCCCAGCCCCATGGTGGCCTAGAAGCTCATGTGTTGTGACGCTCTCTTGTTAGATGCATATACATTAAAGTTGCTGTGTTTTCTTGGAGGATTGACCCCTTTATCGCTCTGTCCTCTATTCTTAATATTCCTTGTTGTGGAGTCTGCTTTGTCTGAAGTTAAAATAACGACCCCAGCTTTCTTCTGATGAGTGTTCAGCATGGCATCTATCTTTCTCCACCCCTTTATTTTTAATCTCTCTAGATCTTTACAAAGTGGGTTTCCTATAGACAGAATATATAGCAGATAACAAGCTTCCTGTTTTTAATCTACTCTGACAATCTGTCTTTTTAATTGGTGTATTTAGACCTGTCACGTTTAAAGTGTAATTGATAACACAGTTGACCCTTGAAAATAGGGGTTTGGACTGAGCAGGTTCCGTGGATTTTTTTTTTCAGTCAATTACTATAAATGTACTTCTATGATTTTCCTAATATTTTTTTCTCCAGCTTTGTTCTAAGAATACAGTATATAATACATAGACAAAATATGTGTTCATCAGTTGTTTGTTATTGATAGGACTTCTGGTCAACAGTAGGCTATTACTAGATAAATTGGGGGGGAGTCCAAATTTTTACGAGGATTTTTTACTCCTGCCTGCCCCTCTCCCCTTCACGATAGTCCATCTAAGTTACGGTGTAAGTGTTTTTAGTGTTTTAGTTTCAGCGGCTTCAGCCCCGTGTCAGCAGAAACCAGCTGTGACTATGGATACTCCTGTCTCTCCAAATTTGGGGAGTGGCGGTTGGCTCTGTTGGCCCCAGTCCTCTGATGGCTCCAAAAAGAAGTCATGTTTTGCAAAGTTTGTCCAGCTTTTTGTAGTTGTAAGGATGGGAGTGGTGACTTGACTCCAAAGCTCTTTGCTTGTTGAAGATGAAACCAGAAGCCCTTGGTGACCCAGTTTTTGTTGTTAAATCAATTTGGAAGACAACGAGTAAGCTGTTGTCTGAGGAGGGCCTTTAACATCTGGACATAGAAATTTGTGTCCTAATGACAACTGAAGAACTAAAAATAGAAATGGCTGTTAGAGTCTGCCTTAATGGCTTCCGACTCTCAACACAGCGTCCAGAAGAACATGAAGGCAACTGACACTGGATTGGGGAATGTTGGGGGTACATTCAGGTACCTGAACTGCGAGCTTACTTGCCAGAGCCCTTCACGTGCTCCACTCCCCCTGCCCCCCACCAGCCCAGAGGACCTGGGATGCACCAAGCACTAAAGCAGACCCAGAATCTGGAAGAACCTGAATGACTTTCTCTCTCCTTCTTTCTAAAGACCGCTCTTTGTGGTTCGTTGTCTGAGAGTGCTGTGGCCTGTCCCGGGCTGGTACCTGGGAAAGATCTGTGTATTAGCAAACTGTGTATTAGCAACAAATATAATCGCTTACAGGGAACATCAGCATGTTCTGAGAAAGTGTCAGGTGCCTACAGTCCAGAATGCTTGGTCTCTTTTTGCCAGAGGGTTTATAGTATGTTCTGTTGAGTTAGTCAATTTCTTTCTTCTCTATCTTTTGACTTGGACTAAGATAAGTTCTAAATAGCTTAATTAGGTGGCTCAAAGCATTTTTTTTCAGGGTGAGCAGGAAATAGGGCAAGTGGTGGTGTTCTTATAGCTGTTCTTACAGTTCTTAAAGCTGTCCCCGTCCGTAGTCTACCAAGAACTTCAACCAAGATATTGTATGTACTTTATTTCACACCAAGGGCTTTGTCCAACTCCTCTCTCAGGGGTTGGCGTCAGGGCGCCTGGGTGGCTCAGTCGTTAAGCGGCTGCCTTCGGCTCAGGTCATGATCCCAGGTCCTGGGGTTGAACCCCGCATCTGTCTCCCTGTTCAATGGGGAGCCTGCTTCTCCCTCTCCCACTGCCCCCCGCTTGTGTTCCCTCTCTCGCTGTGTCTCTCCCTGTCAGATAAATAAATAAAATCTTTTAAAAAAGAGTTGGCATCTAAGCTGCACTAGTGCTCGGGGAGACGTAACAAGTCATGGTCACATAGCCGGGGCACTTCCTGAAAGAACATGAATCACGAGGCCATCACTGCAGGTGACCCATGTGGCAGTGTAACATAGGGTGACGGGGGGCACGCAGACGAGTTCTGTGCTCAGTAAATAGCCACTAGTGTTACACGGAGGGAAGTGAGCTGGAAAGATGAAGACGAAGCCCCTGGGAGCCATGGTAGAAGTCCCAGTTGAGGGAGAGACTGGCCCCAGCCAGAGAGGGAGCTGGACCACATGTGAAACCAAACCAAGACTCAGCCTTTATTTAAACTTCTGGGGACATTATCAGGAGACTGAAGCCATTCACGGCTTACATCTTTGGTAAGATCCTTGCTTCACTGTCCTGAGCATCTGATGGGGTGCACCACGGTTGCGGGATCACTGGTGGACTCTGACACGCACAACACAGCCCAGATAAGGAGCGAGGGGAGAACGAAGCACAAATGTGGGTGTAGCGCCAGGATTGATTGGCGCTTAGATCTGTTCCCCTGGCCAGCTCTGTGTTGTCCCACCGAGGAGCTGGTGGTGTTTTCATGGCTTCCTGCTGGTAGTATCCATAGGGGGCTTTGGCCAAAGCATTC